TGGCCCAATCCCCGACCATTAAATATCTCCCTCGGTGCTTCATATCTACACCCAAGCATTTACTATTCAGGAATAAGCACCCTCGACGTTTGCTGAGTACATCCAGTCGGCACTATGACACTTAATGTCTTATAATGATGATTGTCTTTACATTTCTCGAGGATTTGTTCACGTGTCCATTGAATGCTAGCAAGCAGTCTAAAGTCCCGTCACAGAGACTTTTGTAAGAGATGAACTAATAGATTTTCGATGAAAGTTCAAGGGCAATCAGCGTCATTTTTCCACTTTAATTAAATAAAGAAAGGTGGTTGTGATGTTAAATTTTCTTTTTAGTAATTTCCTTTAAAAAAACTTTTGTTGTTTTGGACTATATCGCATGCTGGAATGAAAACAACTTGAATGATCAATCATGCGACCTTTTCACATAAATCTTATAACTCTCATTTTTCATATGTTAAAACATGTTTTGCGATAATTAATCTAGCTAATGTTGACCCTTCTTCTATTACTAGTTTGTATTTCATGATCCAACTCTTGCACAGTAGTTGCACATCATTAGGACTAAGAAGAAAGACAAATTTCAAATTTCAAAAATCNATAGAGATATGCGGAACGATCCTGATGAACGTTGAACCTGAAACAAAAAATTAGGAAAAGGAGGTCTGGTGTCTACCCATCTAATCCCCTCCGAAATTCAAGTCAATCGGCATAAGAGTCATGAACAGAGTGTATTTTCTGAATTGAAATTGCATACCTTGGACCAATTTTTTTGGGGATATTTATACCTAAGTTTGCAATGATGGCAGCATCTTTGAGTCTCATCTCAGAATTTAATGGTCTACACTCATATACAAGCATAATGAATGTCATCACATCAAATCTTCTAAAGACTAATCCCCTCATGCCAGTAGAGCCTTTATGGCCCAATCCCCGACCATTAAATATCTCCCTCGGTGCTTCATATCTACACCCAAGCATTTACTATTCAGGAATAAGCACCCTCGACGTTTGCTGAGTACATCCAGTCGGCACTATGACACTTAATGTCTTATAATGATGATTGTCTTTACATTTCTCGAGGATTTGTTCACGTGTCCATTGAATGCTAGCAAGCAGTCTAAAGTCCCGTCACAGAGACTTTTGTAAGAGATGAACTAATAGATTTTCGATGAAAGTTCAAGGGCAATCAGCGTCATTTTTCCACTTTAATTAAATAAAGAAAGGTGGTTGTGATGTTAAATTTTCTTTTTAGTAATTTCCTTTAAAAAAACTTTTGTTGTTTTGGACTATATCGCATGCTGGAATGAAAACAACTTGAATGATCAATCATGCGACCTTTTCACATAAATCTTATAACTCTCATTTTTCATATGTTAAAACATGTTTTGCGATAATTAATCTAGCTAATGTTGACCCTTCTTCTATTACTAGTTTGTATTTCATGATCCAACTCTTGCACAGTAGTTGCACATCATTAGGACTAAGAAGAAAGACAAATTTCAAATTTCAAAAATCGTTTTCTTAGAATAGCGAAAAATAAATTTCACTAGCTCAAGACTCACAACCGAAGTTGAAGAAGAGTGAAGAAATTAGAATATAGTTCCAAAAAATGAGAAAAGAAAAAGACTTTTATTATTATGGAGAANAAACAGAGTGTATTTTCTGAATTGAAATTGCATACCTTGGACCAATTTTTTTGGGGATATTTATACCTAAGTTTGCAATGATGGCAGCATCTTTGAGTCTCATCTCTACACTCATATACAAGCATAATGAATGTCATCACATCAAATCTTCTAAAGACTAATCCCCTCGGGCAAGTAGAGCCTTTATGGCCCAATCCCCGACCATTAAATATCTCCCTCGGTGCTTCATATCTACACCCAAGCATTTACTATTCAGGAATAAGCACCCTCGACGTTTGCTGAGTACATCCAGTCGGCACTATGACACTTAATGTCTTATAATGATGATTGTCTTTACATTTCTCGAGGATTTGTTCACGTGTCCATTGAATGCTAGCAAGCAGTCTAAAGTCCCGTCACAGAGACTTTTGTAAGAGATGAACTAATAGATTTTCGATGAAAGTTCAAGGGCAATCAGCGTCATTTTTCCACTTTAATTAAATAAAGAAAGGTGGTTGTGATGTTAAATTTTCTTTTTAGTAATTTCCTTTAAAAAAACTTTTGTTGTTTTGGACTATATCACATGCTGGAATGAAAACAACTTGAATGATCAATCATGCGACCTTTTCACATAAATCTTATAACTCTCATTTTTCATATGTTAAAACATGTTTTGCGATAATTAATCTAGCTAATGTTGACCCTTCTTCTATTACTAGTTTGTATTTCATGATCCAACTCTTGCATAGTAATTGCACATCATTAGGACTAAGAAGAAAGACAAATTTCAAATTTCAAAAATTGTTTTCTTAGAATAGCGAAAAATAAATTTCACTAGCTCAAGACTCACAACCGAAGTTGAAGAAGAGTGAAGAAATTAGAATATAGTTCCAAAAAATGAGAAAAGAAAAAGACTTTTATTATTATGGAGAAATCTAAGTAACTAGCTTACAAAAGAGAAACCTTACAAAAAGAAAATGACTTACAATAGAGAAAGTAGGAATAAGTTGGTAATTGTTATTGGTGATTTGTGTTTTTGTTGGCTTGGTGATTTGGGTTGGTGGGGGGTTTATTTATAGATGACTAGAGGAGAGTCTAGAAGCTCAAGGAAGGTGGAGGTTTGGAAGATTCAAAAATTCTAACTTTGTGGTGAGCATTGATAAAAAAGTGAAGATTCTAAATATTGGTAGAAGGTTTAAGAAGGATACCAAGTGCAAGCATGTTCTACAAAGTTCTAGATATTGAAATTCTCAAATACGTTAATCCTCACTACATCCCTCAAAAATAAAATAGTTACTAAAAATTTATTTTAAATTTTTAACAACGACAACTCATTAGATAGCAAAAATCACTATTACCCCATAATCTCCGTTGGAATTGGGGGTATGTATATGTAGCTACCCTTGACGAGTAAGGGCTATGTTACATTATGATTGTATTCCTTTCGTTTGGAAGTACATGGCTACGCCTTTCAATTAAAAAAATAATCAAATGATCTTCTATCTCTTAGATTTTCAAACCCAAAGCAGAAGAAACTATCATATAGCCATTCATTTTATTTAGAATACCATGACTTTAGTCACTATTAGTCAAAAGTAATGGAGATTGATGCTATAGTAAATATTTAACAAAAAAGAGTACTGGAATTGGGAAAGAGAATGGAAAAGGTGGGTTTTAGGTCAAATAATGGTAATTGTTGATCTTTGTGCAATTTAGCTATGCATGGTGTTGGGCACCCAAACAAGGAAATAAGTATATGTGTTTGTTTATACACTCTCTCTGCAAATATTGATTTTTTTACTACAGGGTATTCAGACTTATACCTGTTATTCCCAAACTTAGCAGCTGACCATCGAGTGTTCTTATGAAATCTAATTGATTACAAGATGAAATATATCTTTGAGCTTAATTATATTATATTAGGTTTGAAAGATGAAATTTGAATTTGGATTAACATGCAATTCCAAATTGATTCATCACCATAATGTGATCAAAGTAAGTTTGGGTTTATTTGTAATCATTATGTTCCTTTGGATCGGTCAATGCTCAATACTTTGGTCCTTTTTTGGAATCTCTTTCTCTCCTATACCGTTATAATAGCCTCCCGTGACTCGCACAAGGCCAATTTCAATTAAATATCTAAAGTCATTTGTCTTTGGGATAGTGTGCAACCAGGTAAATTAATCAAAGGGATAATGTGAAATAATTGATAGTTGAGGGGTTAAAACAAGGTTGGCCCATAGTTTAGCGATCATAGTGTAATTTGTCTTATCTTCGTCAAGTATTTCCTTGTGCCAAATCAAACTCCGGAGACTTATTAAAGTTANAGGTAAATTAATCAAAGGGATAATGTGAAATAATTGATAGTTGAGGGGTTAAAACAAGGTTGGCCCATAGTTTAGCGATCATAGTGTAATTTGTCTTATCTTCATCAAGTATTTCCTTGTGCCAAATCAAACTCCGGAGACTTATTAAAGTTGGATTGTTTTTTGTGGGTCGATAATTGAGTTGAGTTACTTAGATTCAAACTCGGCTCGAATTGGACTCAATTCGAGGTCAGCGAGTTTGAACAATTTTATAGACTCGTTTATAAAACAAGCGTAAAAAAATTCGGCTCGTTTTAGGTTCAACTCGTTTTGAGTTCAACTTGGACTTGGTATATTTCCAAATGAGTTAAAGCTCNGAGGTCAGCGAGTTTGAACAATTTTATAGACTCGTTTATAAAACAAGCGTAAAAAAACTCGGCTCGTTTTAAGTTCAACTCGTTTTGAGTTCAACTTGGACTTGATTTATTTCCAAATGAGTTAAAGTTTGACAGACTCGACTCGAACTCGCAAAGTTTAGTTTGATTATCAGCCCCAACTTTTTGTTATGAATGATAATTTCCCATAAAAATGATTTACAGCAATTTTCTATTGTCCATTGAATAGCCATTTAAAAAAAAAAAAATTGGAGAATGAGGGGAAAATGTACTAGAGATCAAAGCAAAATATTTAGTAATTAGATCAAATGGAGGCCACAAATAAGTATATTCATGGACTATGAATGCTCAAAATAGTTTTTGATTGATTAGTTATAGCTGATATAAAAAAGCTAGTTGTCTTCTACCCCTTTTGCTTCAGTTACCATTCTAATTTTCCATGAACAACAGAGATTTCAATGTAGAAGATAATAATGAAAATAGAAACAAATCAAAAATGGTTATCTTCTATATGCATCACTTTACTACCTTATTCTGAAATTTGTTTTGCTAGGCAACCATGGTTTTGGTATGTTTAAGCATTAATCTCCATTTTCTTGGCTTCAGTTTTTTTTTCTCAGGAAACAAACACTAGAGCCTTGGAGAAAAGTTGGGTTTCCTTGTTAAGATCAAACATGGCACGAAAATCAAAGAAATTGAAGAACAACAACAGCAACTCAAGTTCAGAGAATGGTGCTGACCCGGATTATAATCCGAAGTGGTTCCAAATGCAATCAGAACCAAACAATCTTCCTCCTTTTAATGGAAACCACATCATGATTATAAAGATGGAGGCTAAAGGCCTTGAAATTTCGGAGGGCACATCCACAATGAGGCGAAAACGCGTCTGCCCTTCAACAAAGAGGGACTGGGGACAAGGAGGGCTGCAAAATATCGAATGCCCGAGTAGTACAATCATAAAAAATGAAGGAGCTTCATTGAATATTTTTCAGAGCTTTACTGTTAGAAGAAAGAGAAATGCAAGAAATAAGAATGATCAAGGGAATCCAAGTTCTACCTCTAGCACAAAGATGGAGCCAGAAAATGAGAGTGACCAAGGGACTCAAAGCTGCACCAGAAATTCAGAAAGTGAGAGTAGCCAAGGGGAGATAAAAGGAACAATACTGTCATGGCTAATCGACACGAAAACAATTCAAGAAAACACAAAGGTTGTTTATACTGATCCAACTCGCGGGCAGACTATAAAGGAGGGTATGATCACAAGGGAAGGCATATTATGCAGTTGTTGTGATGAGGTTTTCACCGCACTGGACTTTCAGGCTCATGCTGGAAAGAAGCTTAGAAAACCGTATGAAAACATCTTCATTGCTGAAATGGGTGTTTCCCTATTGTCTTGTTTGATTGAAGCTTGGAATATGCTTGAAGAATCTCTAAGTCATGGACTATTTAATGTCATTCAAAGTGAAGGAGAAGCTGGTGACTCATATGATGATGCTTGTGTGATATGTGCAGATGGAGGGAATTTGATGTGTTGTGATGAATGCAATTCAACTTACCATCATGCATGTATGGGCATGGAGGTTAGGATTTTCTTTCACCAACTTTTAGTCCTTTTTTTGTTTATTATTTTTCTTGAATTATATACTTTCGTTTATTTTTTAAAGCAAAAAGAATCAACTGGTTAATGTTTAACTGTAAAAATGATGGTTTGGGGCCTTCTCGACCCTTGAACTTTCTTAACACTACACAGTATTTGCCAAGTGATTCTTACAATTATAAAGGGTGTGCCCTCAATTTTTTTTTCCCACTTCCACAACAACCCTTTAAAGGCCTATCCAAGGAGTCCCTCCCCCCAGGTGGCTAATTCCTGGATCCGTTCCTGATTATTATCTGTAGTCCCTTGTATCAATTCACAACTTTTGTATTGCAGGTGGTTCCTGAAGGTTGTTGGTATTGTCCATACTGCGTTTGCAAGTTTTGTGGTGATTCGGTTCATGACAACGATTATTTGTTAACATGCTCTCAGTGCGAGAAGAGATGTATGCAAATTTTTGCTCTCTTTGTTAAGGGAATCTTAGCTTTTTGATGAAACTTATGTAATCAAGAGGAAAAAAATACTGACACCTCAAATTTTTTGTGTAATTCAGATCACTGGGAGTGTTATCAAAAGAGAGAACATATAACCATTGATGTTAATGCAACTCCACGCCCCCCATTTTGTGAGCAGAGCTGCTGTCAAGTATGTCGATTTACAATTTGAACCTTGCATTCATTCCCAACTTTGTCAAATCTCAATTTTACTTCAGATAAAGGGCGATAAATTTTTCTGCTCATGATACAATCTTCGTGAGGGAAATTTGTCAATATTTATCTTATGTAAGGCCACCCCATACAATTTTTCTCATGTAGAAAATCATGCAATGGCCGATAAGCAGCACGTGTGCAGCATGTTGGTCGTGGCATATACAGAAGAACTGTTTTGATCTTTGAGCAAGATGAACATAGCATTCCATATGTTACCCTGTTATATCCTCTACCTATCTAGTTGCATCAATTTAGGCCATTTCTCAAACTAACCTGTACACATGATTTAAGTTTAGAAACAAGTTCTACATTCTTTTTTAAGCAGTGTAGCTTAATTGAGTGCTTTTTTAAGGTGTTTGAGAAACTGGAGCAAATGGTTGGAGCAAAAAATGCACTGGATGAAGGATACACTTGGACTTTACTGCAGCGAATAGATAAAGGCTTTGGCATATTTGTACATGATTTACACAAAAGAGCTGAATGCCACTCCAAGCTTGCATTGGCATGGTGTGTAATGGAGGAATGTTTTGAGCCTATCATAGACAGGCACACAAAAATAAACATGATTCAGAGTGTTGTCTCTAATTGTGGGTGAGTGCAGCTTAGATCGGATTTTTCAAAACAAACACCATTGTCTAATGTTCTCATCTATTTTCTTGGCTGAGAACAAATTGTGAATGGTTTTAAATTTTGTCATGAAATTTGACAGTTGTGTTTGTTTCACTATATTTTCTTCTATACTCCAAATACATGGACATTTTCATTCCGTTATTTTATTTTTAAGCAAGAGTGATTGTTTTATAATTCTGATCAGAAAGCTAACAGTGTGCTAAACTTGTGTTCGTCTGAATAACATTTATGCAGATCAAACTTTATGCGAATCAATTTTCGGGGCTTTTATATGGCTGTCTTGGAAAAGGACAATGAAATCATCTCTGTTGCATCCCTGAGGTGTCTCCCATCACATGTTCATATGTGGTATATAAGTTTTAAGAGCTTTTGTACTGACAAATAAATGTGCATATATTACACTGTTTGCTTGATTGTCCTATAGGATTCATGGGACCAAGCTCGCGGAGATGCCGTTCATTGCAACCCATGATATCTATAGGCGCAAAGGGATGTGCAAAAAACTAATGGTTGCTATTGAATCTGTAAGTTTCTCCTGGATGATTCAGAAATAAAAGTGCCTAAAGTTACTAATCAATTTGGAAAATCTTCTAATTCCTTCTGTTTGTTTGTCTCCAACTGTNTGCAAAAAACTAATGGTTGCTATTGAATCTGTAAGTTTCTCCTGGATGATTCAGAAACAAAAGTGCCTAAAGTTACTAATCAATTTGGAAAATCTTCTAATTCCTTCTGTTTGTTTGTCTCCAACTGCGTTCCGAAACAAGTTCTCATACTTAATTTGATTTGTAGGCTCTTTGCTACCTTAGAGTCGAAAATCTGGTCATTCCATCCATCCAAGAAAGAATTGGTGACTGGATTGACAGATATGGTTTTAGTCCAATTGATGCCATACTGAGGAAAGAAATAATGGGCCGCAACACATTGATGTTCCATGACTCAGCCAGATTACAGAAGACATTAATGCCACCTGATATCAATCAACCAAAGAGGAAAATCAGTGAAGGTGCTCTCTCTCTCGCTCTCTCTCTCTCTCTCTCTCTCAAGTGTTCATGGTGAATTGTTTTCCTTCTTATGCAGCTAAGAAGGTCAAGGAGGAAGAGAAGAATGATTGTGAAAATGGAAAGAGGTCTGAGGATAAATCCACAGTTCCAGCACTTTTTGACTTGAATCTTGAACCTCCTGAGTAGAGGCATGTGGTGGTGTGACATTGAAGAGACAAACAAGTGCACCAGGGTTGAATTTAAAACCGTAGGCTTGTTTTACAAACTTGAAGCTAAATTTAGGCGGAGAAACTTATTGTTGGTAATTATACATCAGGTCATTTTGCTTCATTCCTATGAATTTCACATATGTTTTAGACAGTTCTATACACTTTCTTGATCTACTTGATTTGTTGCTGCAACGAAGTCGAGTTGCTAATACACAGTCAGGATCGATAGATTAGAGAAAGGACAATAAGATAAAAAATGTACCCAGTGCATGAGGCTCTCGACATGGATTGGAGGAAAATCGAGCCTTTATTGTATGATCAGCTGAAGAGCTTTAGATTCTGAGACCATGGATTGGGGGTTGCTTGGTTTTTGTTGTACCTTGTAGCAGTAACTGCTTGTAACAAAATCAGCATATATTTTTCCCTTTTTTACTTCTTTTTCTCTGTAGACACATTGATTATACATGTTCAAAAGCCATTGACTTTGTGGGCATTTGAAGTGATTCATTTTGGCAAATTCTATTTTACCTATTGTAAATGGGTCTTATAGCACTTTACTCTCTTGTGATTCAAATACGACAGCATTAGTGGCTCCAGCCCGAGCAATGTACGTTATTTCTAAGGATAACTCGTATCTGAAAGCACGGTTCAATATGAATGGTTGAGAAGGATGTTAGTGGTCATTGAATGAATCTATTTGAGACCGTCAAATGGACTTATTGAAACCTACTATATTTTATATTATAGATTATACTTAGACTCCTGAGGTTTGTCACTTAATTGCTCAGACCCCTTGACATTTGAAATATTATACACAAACTCTTAAAATTTGTACGTGCATAACAATTAGACCCCTACCGTTAATGTCCGTTATTGTATCCGTTAGTAAATTATACATAGACCCCTTGAAGTTTGTAGGGGTGTAATACTTAGACCTCTCAAGTTTAAATTGTTATATTTAGACTAGAAATATTTCAATCAAAGATAAAATGTCAAATATTTGAAATTTTACAACTAAAATTCATTTTCTATTGTGACATTTATTGAAATAAAATCAAAAATAAAAATCTAATTTTTTTAAAAAAAAATCATAATTAGTATACAATTATACTATCTATTGGAATTTAATTTGGTCGTCTATACAACCAAATTAAACTACTAAATTATCTCAATTAAAGTTTGAACATTACAGTTTGACAAATTGTTTAATTGTTTAGTTTTATTCCAATAAATAGTATAATTGTATACTAATTATAATTTTTTAAGAAAAATTAAATTTTGATTTTTGATTTTATTTCAAAAAATGACATAATAGAACATGAATTTTAGTTATAAAATTCAAGTTTTATTATGAATGACTTAGACCCCTTATTTGATTTTTTAGTTTTATTCCATTAGATAGTATAATTATATACTAAATTATGATTTTTTAAGAAAAAATTATATTTTTATTTTTGATTTTATTTCAATAAATGATACAATAGAACATGAATTTTTGTTGTAAAATTTAAAATGTTTGATATTTTATCTTTGAAAAAAATATTTTTTGTCTAAATATAACATTTTAAATTTCAGTGGTCTAAGTTTTATACTTATAAATTTCAGACGGTCTAAATATAATTGATTAACGGATATATTAACGGAGATTGACAGCAGAAGTTTACGTGTTATGTACATACAAATTTTAGGGGATTTGTATCTAATATTTCAAATATCAAAAAGTTTGAATAATTAAATGACAAACTTCATAGAATCAGAATATAATTCTCGCTTATTTTATAACACACTATAACTTTTTCAATTTTTCGTCATTTCTCCCCCTTTTACTCAATTGAGAATTTAGAGAAGTACAGAAAGTGTCAAGGTGATGAAAATTACTTTTTAAATTAATTAATTTAGGTAAACGGCGTAGTTAAGGAGGGAAATTGTTTGTGCCACTTGGAAGAATGTGATTGCAATAAATCAAAATTATGTAAATTCTAGAAAAGCGTACGCACAAAAGTGTACATTTAACAAAAATGCAGGTTCCACATTCTATTCAAGCTATCTGGTACAACCAAAGAGTTTACTATGGACCTCCAAATTATAATCAACAAAGCTTCAAAGTAAGAACATATGACTTATCTTGAGGTCAAATCATGAGAAATTTATTTTTTATAAATATCCTAGTCCCGACGAATATGACTTATTTTTAACTGAATCGAGGAGGAGTTTAGTCGAAACATGCGTAAATTGACTCGAATACCTCTGACTGCTGTTGAACAACAAAAAATAAGAAAATGAAAGAAAATATGGCCTAAAACCTTGAATATTTGTGTAATGCATCACAATTCCCTCCCTTTGAAATAGAAAAATTAAAAATTGACTGTTGAAAATTTCTCATGTTTTATCTTTTATATTCTTCATCCCATGTAGACCTCCAAATTATAACCAACAAAGCTTCAAAACAAGAACATATGGCCTATCTTGAGACAAAGTCATAAAGGAATTATATTTTATGAATGTTCTAATCTTGACAAGAATGACTTGTCTTTGATGGAATCAGGGAAAAATTAATTGAAACACGCGCAAACTAAGTTGAACACCTCAAACTATTGTTGAAGTGCAAAAGAAAAAAAATATGACCTAAAACCTTGAATATTAGTGTAATGCATCACAATTCCCTCCCTTTGAAATAGAAAATTTTAAAAATTGACTTTTGAAAATTTCTCATATTTTATCTTTATATTCTCTCCCCCCACCCCCAACGACGACCACCCACACACCCCAAAAAAAAAGGAAGTAAAAAGGAGTTTGGCAGTGTGATTTGTCTCTTATTGTAACCTTCAAATGAAGAGCCCTAAAAGCTGGCTCATTAGTCATGATATAAGAATTCTTAATAGCGGAAGTTGGACCTAACACTAGTGTTTAAGACCCGTCAACCTAACATGAAACCTCTTGGAAGTTGATGATTCTTGGTTTAGTCTTTAGGTTTTTTGCGATTCGGTACTTAATTTATCATTTTATTATGAAAAAAATATTTAATACAAAATACTTTATATAAAAAAAGTTTTTTTTTTAGGATGACAGAAGTTTCCGTAAGATAACAATTATTTAGTGCAAAGAGTGGATAAAAAAATTGTCATAAATTATGCAACAATCTAATTAAATTCGGCAACTAATCCCTCAAAACATTTGTTTTCAAATTTAAAAAAAAAATGCCACAAAATCGTTCAATTTTTAACCAAAAAAAAAACACAAACGTTGAAGCACTATTAAAGATCGATCTTCCTTCCATTTTGATTCAAATTGTCGATAAAGTAACATTACAATGATACATGACAGTATAACACATTCATTCATACTTTAATTATTGAAAAAAAAAGTTGTGAAATTATATTTACTGATTCATATACAATCTAAATAGTATACATCACATAATGTGACATTCATAAACATTGTTTTTAATGAATGACAGTGTTACATTACAATGTAACATTGCAAAGTTACATTATTATTCGATTTGAGAACAAGCAGAGCTATTTAACATTAAAAAATAATATAAAAAAAAATTCAAAATCTAGATCAACCCGTTAAGGTATATTTCATGTAGTATAATTTTGAATTTAAAATATGTTCAATCCCTTAAAATATGAAATCATTAATATAATAAATCAAATCTCATAAAAAATAGAACTACCAAACTAACATATGTTTAAATAAAAAAATGTATTTTAGTGAAGAAAATATTTACAAATCAGTCAATAGGTACCTAAGTACAATATATTTCAAGTCAAATGTACTTATCTACAAAAGATTTTAATTAGTATATTTTCTCATAATTAAGTAATTTAAAAGTTATCTGTTCACAATTTTCCAAAGTCTTTAAATAGTCTAGCATCGCAAACATGCTTACTTTGAGACCATTTTAATAAATAAGTCAAGAAGAATGGACATATATCATTTGCTTAGACAAATCGTATCTAAGTTTTTGGAGTGGAATCGTCTAGGATAAGCCGGAGATTCCTTCCATTACCCAAAACAAAAAAAAAATTTTGATTATTCTTAACAAACATGGTGTAGAAAAAACATAAGAAAAGTTGATCCTTGTTTTCTCCATTCCATCTGTCCGTGGATAGTTAATTGGACAACTTGGGAGTCTTTCCCACACTTTGTTAGGTAGGTGAAAATAGTTAGAATGAATCTTGAGTTTTTCAAAGGAAGAAACGAAGGATAAGTGATGAACAAGGAACAACGGTCAATACACGAGTCTCTAGTCATTGCAATAAAAAAAGAACTAAATTAAAATAAAGTTCTCTCAATAAGCAACCAAAATATAGAGAAAATTTGGACTAGAAATAACAACATTTTCAGCCAAGCAACAAGAAGTCTTCTTTCCACAAGAGTGACGTCCCCCTCTAATACATTTTGTTTCAATTTTACTCAATAGTAAATCACTTGCTACGAATTCAAAAATGATTCAACATTCCTAAATGAGTCCTTTAAACATAAATAATGGATCATCAAGAGTAAAATTAATAGAAAGTGTATTGAAGAGGATTAAAATCTTTTTTTTACCCAGAAAGGAAATGATTTGAGTGCCGCCTTTTATGCCAAACCAAAAACGTGGAATTGGTTCATTCATGACCATGGTTCTGGGGTCTACATCGTAAAACAAGTAGCCAAGAAAAGGCAACACGATTAAAAGCCATATATCGAACTTTAAAATCACGTTAAAAAAAAAAACTTTGACATGAGTTTAATGTTTCTTTTCACTTTCAGACGGCGTTTATACCTTGAATTTTGAGGATTACACTCGTCTACTTTGAAAACTTTGAGATACATCCATTGTAAAAAATCTAGAGAAGCGTTGGAACGTGTGATGCACAACGTTCCTATAAGTTCACGATGTGTTTTCAATTTGAACTTACAAGGAAATAGAGATAAACTTAATTTTTCATTATGCATTTTTTGAAAGGGATTCGATAAAAATTGAAA